CCTCTGCTCTCTGCAGCCCTACCTCCCCTCCTTGGGGTAGGGTCTAGCAGACAGTGAAAGGCTGGCATCAACTGGGCTTTTCAAGTATTCATTTCACACACTCACACAGTCACACACACACTTTGACGATTTGAGACTGACAGAATCACTAAAACAGCCCAATTGCTTTTTGGAGGGAGGACCAGGCTGCTCGTATTACATGTCAGGTTTGCCTCTGATTGTGTTCACCAGTTCAGGAAAGCTTCCTTGTCAGTGTAGAATCAGTGGCAAAGTTGTGGCTGTTACTTGAATGAGGTACCAGGGTGAAAACTATTCAAACATATTGAAAGGCACCCAAGGCCAAGGGCAGGGATGGAGCAGAAAATTGGTTTTCTTTGCATTTTAATGAGATACTACATAATTCACTACTGAAAAACAGCAACCCTCTGGAACTGGCACTTCTTTGAATTTCTGTAATGCTATTGTCCAACCAATATATGTGTGCAAAAATGCATATATTAGGTGAAATACAATACAAAATACAAATACAAAAATGCACATCAGGGGAATCTGCTTGCAAAATTTGTATTTTAGTGAAAACATATACACATATGCTTTTAAGCAAAACTCACACTAAAACGAGGACAATTTTTTTTCTGAAGGTTTTTTTTCTTTAAAAAGTTGCAAAATGGCTGTAGAAATGTGAAGGACCAAATTTAAGAATGGATTTTTTTTTTTTGGGGGGGGGGACTGGCAGATTAGTTCACCCCTAGCTGTATGGAAGTGAGAGCTGGACCATAAAGAAGGCTGATCGCCGAAGAATAGATGTTTTTGAATTATGGTGCTGGAGGATACTCTTGAGAGTCCCATGGACTGCAAGAAGATCAAACCTCTCCATTCTGAAGGAAATCAGCCCTGAGTGCTCACTGGAAAGACAGATCCTGAAGCTGAGACTCCAATACTTGGGCCACCTCATGAGAAGAGAAGACTTCCTGGAAAAGACCCTGATGTTGGGAAAGATGGAGGGGCACAAGGAGAAGAGGATGACAGAGGACGAGATGGTTGGACAGTGTTCTCGAAGCTACCAGCATGAGTTTGACTAGACTGCGGGAGGCAGTGGAAGATAGGAGTGCCTGGCTGCTCTGGTCCATGGGGTCACGAAGAGTCGGACACGACTAAACGACTAACAACAACAAGCCCTAGCTAAGTGACCTTGCTCTACCTTCCCCACCTAATATTTCTGACCAAGTCTGCCACATATCCACTTGGTGACTATATGTTTTGCCTAGGGACACGGGTGGCACTGTGGTCTAAACCACTGAGCCTCTTGGGCTTGCTGATCAGAAGATTGGTGGTTCGAATCCCCACAACGGTGTGAGCTCCCGTTGCTCTGTTCCAGCTCCTGCCAACCTAGCAATTTGAAAGCATGCCAGTGCATGTAAATAGGTACTGCTGTGGCAGGAAGATAAATGGCATTTCCGTGCGCTCTGGCACTCATCACAGTCCTCCGTGCACCAGTAGCAGTTTAGTCATGCTGGTTGCATGACGTGGAAAACTGTCTATGGACAAACGCTGGCTCCCTCGGCCTGAAAGCGAGACGAGTGCCGCAACCCCATAGTCGCCTTTGACTGGACTTAACAGTCCAGGGGTCTTTTACCTTTTTATCTTTTTTATATGTTTTGCCTCTGTGCTAGTTCTTTCACACATCCGTGTTCATCACTTGATGAATAAACCTCGAACACAATGTTTGAAGGGTCAGTATGTGCAACATGATAAGTGATGAGTAAGTAATATCTCATTCCATTCAACTATGTCCCATTCCATCCACAGGGTGAATCCACGGGGAAGGGGGTAGCCAAAATGAATTTTTGTCATATTCTAACAGGGGGAAAGGTGATTATTTCTTGGTATGCCCAGTGGGGACCACTTGGCATATTCAGCTCAGTTTTCTAATCCTTTAGAAAGCTTCATCAGCTGAGCATTGGTCAAATTGTTCTCTAATGTACTAATGCAATCTTTATGCATAATACATTGCACAAGACACTAGCCTGTAGAGAACATTCTCTAAAAGTGTACCTGCTCATTAGCCATTATCAATCTGTAGAATTTTACTTTTAGCCAAAGCTATGAAAAATACATAAAAGCAGAGGTGAATCCTGCCTCTCTCTCTCTGGTATTTATTTTGTAGTCCGGAAGCCATGAGGGTCTATACTTTTGTAATACATAAAAGCAGAAATAACATTTAAGAGACCATTCACAGCCTCTTTTATGGAATTCATCAAGATTCAGCAAAACATAGCAAAATCTCCATCACGCTAACGGATGGAGGAGTGTCTCTGGAAGGAATTCCTGAATATTACAAGGACCAGTGGGGAGTCCTATGCATCTCAGTGAGATTAGGGTAGAGCATAGACAGAGAGAATTTGTGAGAGGTGTGTGTGTACAAGAGTACCATCTAGCATTCAGAACACTGAACATTACCCAATAATTATGTAGAAAAGGTCTCAAAATATCCATCCAAACTGAGAAGGGTGGGTTTTGTCCGTCTCTTGTTTTGTCACTCCTGAAAGAGTATGTCCAAGGGCAGTGCTTGGACAGTACTTATGTGTAGGCATAAATGTCAACCATTCAGTTCTCAATCAATAACTATTTATTGCTTGAAGCCATAGACCATTGCAGATAGCACAAAACAAGTAAAAATGTCTGAAGGATATAAATAAAACACGAGCAGTTGAGTTTCCTAATTCTCATTTAACATAAAGGCATGGCTAAAACAAATCTATATTTTAAAACTCCCAGTCAACTATTCTTCACTTAGCTTACCTAGACTAGTGAACCATCTTTGCCGCCCACTGACACGTTCTTAAAGATTTGGCTCCAATTTTCTTAGGTGCAGCTTCAAATAACACAACTTGATAAGCCTTTGCAAATGCAGAGTTAACTAAACACATGAGTGCCATATTTATCACATACACAGCCCAACAAGACAACGACAAGAATCCGCTAACAGCACACAAATCAATCTGGTTAACCTGATCCAAAAACACCCACCCACCCCACTGACACATGAAAACAAAGTTCACCACAGCCAATCACAAATAAACAACCACACCCTAGGCCAATCCCAACCTCTCTCACCACCAAAGGAAAACAAGCAAATAGTAAAGAGAACCCACACAAGTGATGCTGACACAAAACCCCACACATACACCACGTAGAATAGAAGCATTGCCACCCCACTCACCATGCCCCCTCCGCCTCTTTCCCCCTTTTCTTCCTTTGTTGTTGTTTAGTTGTTTAGTCATGTCTGACTCTTCATGACCCCATGGACCAGAGCACGCCAGACACTCCTGTCTTCCACTGCCTTCCACTGCAGTTTGGAGCCTCAGCTTCAGGATCTGTCCTTACAGTGAGCACTCAGGGCTTGTTTCCTTCAGAATGGATAGGTTTGATCTTCTTGCAGTCCATGGGACTCTCAAGAGTCTCCTCCAGCACCATAATTCAAAAGAATCAATTCTTCGGCGATCAGCCTTCTTTATGGTCCAGCTCTCACTTCTATACATCACTACCTTGCCAACAAAGGTCCCTATAGTTAAAGCTATGGTTTTCCCAGTAGTGAGGTATGGAAGTGAGAGCTTTTCTTCCTACTGTAACACTAAGGTCTCAACAAATGAAACTGATCTGGAGAAAATGTAACTTGAAAAAAGAGACATTGCACATACTTTTGTAAGCCAAGAAATCTCTAATAAAAAATGTGTGGGGTTTTTTAAAAAAAACTAAACACATGAGGAAAGCCAGTTTTTCCAAATGTGTGGGGAGCATTCATGATTACAGAAATTCCCCTCTTTAGATGGTCACACTCCAACTAGTGGAGATTGTGGTTTTTGTCTGCATAGCCTTACCTGTTCCTTAGTTTGGGCTGAGAATAATGAAAGCAGCAGCTACCTCCCAGAGTAGTTTACTTTTCATACCTTCTGCTCACATGATAATGCACTGGATAATAAGCAATATTTTGAATGATCATAATTTAATTTCTCATTCAAACATTGTTCCTTATTTAGAACAAAATGAAGCATTTGCTGATCAACGTGCCTGCTGCCCGCAGTCACATTTCCAATTTGTGTGTTTAAATTCCAAAGTTGTTGCCGGGGTCTGCAGCTTTTCCATGATTTTTCAGGAGATGCAGAAAAATCCACTGAGGCTTAGCATTTATTTTAATATCTGAATATATACTCACCTCATCATTCAGATGACTTGTGGAGTGCATATCAGTTGTGCCATGCATGAAGATGAAGAGATGCTATCGCAGGTCCACTTTACAGCAAAAAAATAAAAATAAAATAGTTTTCGGAAGGAGAAATAGGTAAGTGGGATAATCTTTTAGAAGCTTAGCTGGTGTTTAGATCCAAACAAATACATTTGCAACATATCCCATGATTCTAATTCTATGTAAAATTTTGATATTACTTAAATCCATTCATATTTTGATGGAACAAAAAAGAAACCTCACCCTTTGCTCAGCTAATGATAAGGAACTTAAAGACCCATATCTTTCATGAGGAGACTAAAGCATGTCTTTAAGCCAGGAATGCACTAAATTCCAGCACTAAAATTTTCAAAGCAAAAGAGGGATATTTCATTTTAATAAAATATTTCTTTTCAATGAAATGCCATTTCTTTGGTTTTTTCCTTTTTGTGCATTGCCTAACATTTCTTATCACCTCCTTCTTCCTCTGATCTCCAGCTTTAGCACCATTTTTAAAAAAGGACTTTAGGCAATTCTAGCCAATCAAGAAGCACAAATGCAACATGATGGCATCAGCTCATTACACAGGGAATCAGACTAAACTAACAAAGTCAAAACAGAGTGAAAGTAGAAGATGTTGTTCTCACTCTAGGCTAGACATCCTGAATGTACCATAGGACCAATCAAATTTGGGCATGAGATACTGTTTTGCTGTCAGGGGCAATATTTCCTGCCCTGGCTGAATGAGCAAAGAGTTTCTCCCTAAATTTCAGAGTTGGAGGTTGGGTATTGTGTGTGTGTGTGTGTGTGTGTACACACACACACACACACACACAAGCTCCAAAAGGTGACAGGTCATAAAAGGAACAACTGAAAAGCCTCACTAGAAGCTCCTTCCATTAGGCAGAATACATTTGGATTGAGTGCATCCAAACAGAAAAAAAGAATGACATCTGACAGTAAACTTACACCTCAACTGTTCACAAGGAACAGCCTGGATGCCAGCTACTATAAGGAAATATTCTGAGATTATTGCATCCATCATATTTAGGCTGAGGGAAATAGCATTTAAACAGGAAAGTGTTTTCTCATTACTGTATGAAGCGTGAAATTAGTATTTTTCTTTAAGCAATACCTTCCCATCTAGACAAGTTACAGTATGAATAATTCTCTATGACACTATAAAGTAGACATGATGACACCAGGGCTTTTAAGTACATTTTTGATTTAGTAATATTTGAAACCCAGCTTCAGATTCACAGGGGAGACCATTTGTCCCTACTTACAAAGTTACACTAAAAAAAGGGTTGATGCGAATCCATTGGGGTCAGAAAGAGTTGAGGTAGCGTAACAGAGCAGAAATTGTTCCTAGCTGTTGCAGAATGAGAGAAAGGAAACATCCAAGCTGAAATATATAAAGTTAAAATGTGCAGAACATATACAATATTTGCAGCTGGTGACACATTGAATTCTACATATGATATGTACCTCCTCACAAACACACCCCAGTGCTGTTCTGTAATTGCAGGCTGTCAGGGAAAAAAACAAAAATAGTATTAAAATATGCAGCTGTCAGTGCATTCTGCTTTGATATTTTTAAGCATTCAACTTGGACTTCCCCAGACTGGTGTTTTCCCCCCTGGTTGTATTCTGCACCATGTGTCCAGCTGCCTGATGTGGTTAGCATGTGGGTTTCCTTTCCCCCTTGCTCTTCAAGTGTGACTATCGCAAGCCCTCCTGAATTGATCATATCCTGTTGCTCCCAGAGGGAATTGTACAGAGAAAAGCATGATTCCCCACCCCCATGTAAACACCCAGGCTATAGCTGGCTGGATACAGTGGCTTGTATCCAATGTAATCCTGCCAGCGCAAGGATTCCCACTTGCACAGAGAGACCTTTTCTATCTCCTCCCCCTGTGCATCCCCTAAATCTGCTCTGGGAGATTTCTACAACCCTCTAGAGCAGATTAAGGGATGCGAGTGGCACTGTGGGGTAAGCCACAGAGCCTAGGACTTGCCGATCAGAAGGTCAGCGGTTTGAATCCTCACGACGGGGTGAGCTCCCGTTACTCGGTCCCTGCTCCTGCCAACCTAGCGGTTCAAAAGCACGTCAAAGTGCAAGTAGATAAATAGGTACTGCTCTGGCGGGAAGGTAAATGGCGTTTCCGTGCACTGCTCTGGTTCGCCAGAAGCGGCTTAGTCATGCTGGCCACATGACCCGGAAGCTGTACGCCGGCTGCCTCGGCCAATAAAGTGAGATGAGCGCCGCAACTCCAGAGTCGGCCACGACTGGACCTAGTGGTCAGGGGTCCCTTTACCTTTACCTAGAGCAGATTAGAGAAGGGTGTGCAGTGTGCATGAGGGGAGGAATGTATAGTGTACCTGCCTGGTACCCGGTACCTTATAACTGAGCAGTCCTAACCCCCAACCTTTGCCCTGTGAATGCTTCTATTGAGTCTGTTGGAGGAATGATGGAGTAGATGCTATCACATGTGATGTTCTTGCTAGCGGTAGCCCAAAATGCAGCGGTATAGAGCCAGGGCAGACTAGGAGAAGCTGGATCAAAAGCTAGCCTGTTTCTAGTAGGGGGTGGGCATTTGTGTCCCTTCTGCTTAATCAGCCAACTGCTAGTGCAGCAAAGAAATGACAAGAGCGGTGGTTGTGAATCTACTGCCCTGTTGGCTTTGCTGGCCGATGAGATTTCGTCATTGACCTAATTCAGATCTTTGATGTGACAACCTCATGGGCACATATGGATAAACCACATGAGTTGCTTGGGGCAGCCATGCTGAATTAATGGTAGGGTGGTCAAATGAGGCTGAGCAAAAGGAGCAAAAGGGCACCAAGTAAAAGCAGCAACAACAACACTTGAAGGACAGAAATGTTTATTTGTGGGCACTTGAAAGTGAATGCTGGAATTAGAGAATGTTCATAAAGGTAAAGGTAAAGAAGAAGAGGAAGAAGAAGAAGAGTTTGGATTTGATATCCTGCTTTATCACTACCCGAAGGAGTCTCAAAGCGGCTAACATTCTTCTTTCCTTTCCTCCCCCACAACAAACACTCTGTGAGGTGAGTGGGGCTCAAAGATTTCAGAGACGTGTGACTAGCCCAAGGTCACCCAGCAGCTGTATGTGGAGGAGCAGAGACGCGAACCCGGTTCACCAGATTACGAGTCCACTGCTCTTAACCACTACACCACACTGGCTCACAGGTAAAGGTACCCCTGACCGTTAGGTCCAGTCACGGATGACTCTGGAGTTGCGGCGCTCATCTCACTCCATAGGCTGAGGGAGCTGGCGTTTGTCTGCAGACAGCTTCCGGGTCATGTGGCCAGCATGACTAAGCCGCTTCTGGCAAACCAGAGCAGCACACGGAAACACCGTTTACCTTCCCACTGGAGCAGTACCTATTTATCTACTTGCACTTAACATGCTTTCGAACTGCTAGGTTGGCAGGAGCAGGGACCAAGCAACGGGAGCTCACCCCGTCGCGGGGATTTGAACCGCCAACCTTCTGATCAGCAAGTCCTAGGCTCTGTGGTTTAGACCACAGTACCACCCGTGTCCCTACAGAGAATGTTCATAGTAGCCCTAATTATTATCAGCTTGGTGTCCCTGGAGCACTGAGGATCATGGGAAAGAGGTGGGCAGGCTGCCTCATGTCTTTCTACAAGGCAGATATAGAGAAGTCTGGTTGCAATTCTTTTCCATGCTCCTCCTTCTCTTTCTTTCATGGGAACTGTTGAGGTACCGTATTTTTTGCTCTATAAGACTCACTTTTCCCCTCCTAAAAAGTAAGGGGAAATGTGTGTGCGTCTTATGGAGCGATTGCAGGCTGCGCAGCTATCCCAGAAGCCAGAACAGCAAGAGGGATTGCTGCTTTCACTGCGCAGCGATCCCTCTTGCTGTTCTGGCTTCTGAGATTCAGAATTTTTTGTTTTTTTGTTTTCCTCCTCCAAAAACTAGGTGCGTCTTGTGGTCTGGTGCGTCTTATAGAGCGAAAAATACGGTAATTCTCCCTGGTCTCTAGCCTGAATGGTTTTTAAAGATCCCGTAGTCTCTCCAGCCCAGTAACTCATTCCACAAGCCCCTGAAATCTTCAGATGAAGGGTGGTATAATAAGGATGTGTCTTCTTGCCAGTTTCATTTCCAGACGGTTTGTATGCCACTCTAAGCTATGGGCCTTGTTCTGTTAACTGCTAGCATGACTCCAGGAACAGGACCAAGACAGCAATGTAAGTGTTTGTGTCAATCTTAAATCTCAGGAGACAATTCAGTGTAAAACATGCTGAACATGCTCCCCACCTTCCCATCCTGTTTGCAGTCCCCGTTCCCCCTTACCATATTTCCACCTACACACAAACGATAGACATCAAAATCTCAGATTTCATCTTAAAACCTGCCCTTTCCGATCTAATCCCTCGCACCTTTATTCCTCGAACACCACAAATTTCTTGGTGAACATTTGTTTTGTTGACTGGGGTGGGTTGGGAAGGAAAGATATCAGGAATACACAGCCAAAAATTTTAAAGCTGTTTTTCCCTCTATAAGCTTCCAGCTCTTCTTGGAAGGTACAGATTCAGGAGGAGGCTGTAGACAGAATTTATAAACCTAACTTGATCATCTTCTAAAGAATTTATGAATCATGGTTAATAATCAGCTTTAGGCACTTCTGAGGGAAGAATCACATTTTGAAGCTACAAAGGTCCACTAAATAGCCCACGGGAAATGACCCTGAATCTCATTAAGCACAAAAACCCACTACAGTAGGACTCTGTGTCAAAGGTAAAACATTCCAGTCCACACTCCCTTTAAGTGTCAGAGAGTTCCTCTTTTTAAATACTTGATTAAGACTGAAGAAGCGTAAGAGATTTTCTTTCTTTCTTGGGGAAACACAAGTAGAGTCAGTTTTTTGGTTGTCTGTTCAGAAAATTTGCTCTTTTACTCTGGCACCCCCCCCACACTTTTCTTCACTCTTTCATATATTCGTTATTGTCCACCTTTTTTAAACCTTTTATCTTTCTTTTATCTATTTCATATGCCTTTGGCTAAAATCAGAGTTGCCTCCTTTCTATTTCAGGAATCAGCAGAGAAGCATGCTTTATCTTACGTTAGACCAACCTTCTGTTTTCCTATTTAAATGGCAGATATAGATTGAAAATCAGATTTGGGGGTCAGGGAAATGATTTTGAGTTTATTGTAATTTAGGCCTGCCCGGAAAAATTTGCTCTATAGAAAAGGAAAGATTTAACAGGTTATCGAGAAGCAGACTAGAAATTGTTTGCCTTCATTATTGAATAGTGTTTAGAGAAATAATTTTGCCAGTTTTCCCCACCCCCTATTGCTGCATTAATTCCAATTGCTTTTTAATATACTTTTCACATTATGACAATTTTCAGTTCTTGGCATTCTAGCCTGCTCTTAATCAGGATAAGCAATATCTTAAGTGCCTTCCAATTTATTTATTTATTTATTTTAAGACAATGTTTGCCGTATTGATTGTTTCTATGAACAAAGCATTGGATACAAGCACTTTTTTATTCTTTCTGTAATTCAGTTAGAAAACATCAAAGCAAACATTCTTATACTTTCGTTTTCTGTTTTCCTCACTGCTGGAAAACATAGAATAAACAAACTTTTGGTAACCGTGACAAAGCGAGTTACAAATCACATTTTAAACTCACTAACTTGATTGGTGACTCTAGTGCAAGAATGGAACTGCAGTTTTTAAAGAACAGCCTACTCTTCAATTAAAAAAACCCCACAATAATGTAAAGAAACTGAAGGTACATTCTTTCACCTTTGGTGGACATGCCCAAAGATCAAGGCTTTCTGGGAAATGATATA